GCGCGGCGCGCCTCCCAGCCACAGCATTGGCCACGTAGGTCCTGTCTTCCCCCAGCCCCGCAGCCCCGAGGCTGCTCCACCTTTCCCCAAGGGCTGTCCAGGGGTCCAGGGCACCCCGCCTCCAGCGGCGGCCAGGTCGCGGGCACCCCGGGAGAAAGCAGCGCCATTTCACAGGCCCCAGGCCCTGGGGGCGAGGTGGCTTTATTTGCAATACATTTGCTTACAGAGCAGATTTGTGCTATTGTTTCCAAACATGCTGACGCTTCCGTTTAAAGGCAAGCACGTTGCCAAAGTTGCAGCTACCGTGGCCAAGCAGAGGGTTGACACGCAGTGTGACAGCGTGTCAGGGAATCGGCTTGTTCGGAGGCTGGCGCTGGCTGTGCCCGTCACTGCTGGGCTGCAAGCTGGTGCTGAACCAGAGCTGTGACTGTTCCAGGGCTTCCCCGGGGAGGGACTTGGGTGGGTTTAGCCCAAGTCCTGGAGAAAAGAGGAAAGGCCAAAGGTCCGTCCCGCCCAGAGTCCTCTCTGCCCACAGATGCCAGTGCCACGTGCCCCAGAGGGAGTGAACCAGCAAGTGATCCATCCCGTCACCCATTTCCAGCCTTTGACACCGTTCCTACCCATCCTGGCTACTAGCCATTGATGGACCGAACCGCCATGCATCTATCTAGCTTTGTTTAACCCTGGTAAAGTCCTGGCCTTCAGCACATCCTCCGGCGAGGAGTTCCACAGGTTGACTGTGACTGGTGCAAAGAAAAACGTCCTTTGGTTTGTTTGAAACCTGCTGCCTCTTCATTTTCATTGTCCCCTCATTCTGACATGCTGGGAACAAGTCCAGAACTTTTCCTTCTTCACTTTTCGTCACCACTCACGATTTTACAGCCCTCTCCCCTGTCCCCCTTGGCTCCTCTTTTCCAAGCTGAGAAGGCGCATTGGCGCAGTTTGGCAGTCTCCTGTCACTGTCCAGTCAGACATTCCCTTGTGTGCGACCTGAGGCCGGGAGACCAAGGCCTAGTTCTCCTAGTTCTCTAGTCAGCCCCAGCCAAGTGCAGCCGGCCTGCAGCAGGGCGCACTCCCTGGCTGGCGGGAGGAGACAGCCCAGCAGCCGCAGTTCAGTGGCTGCGCCAAGCATTTGCCTGCTGCTGGGTTAGCTAGCTCAGTTCATGGAGGACAGTGGCGAGTAGCCGGGCTGGGGAGGGGCGACGGGGGCGGGATCACTGGCTGGGTCCCTGTTCTGTTCCCTCCCTCTGGGGCCCTGGGCTGACCCAGTCTGGCCGCTCCCATGTTCTTCGGTTCTTGCCCTGTCCCAGCCGTGGCTGTAACTTTCTCCCTGCCTCCTGGCCCTGGTGCCTGGCTCAGACTCTGGCTTGACCCTTGGCCCCGGCATGTGAGTCTCGTCCTGACCCTCTGTCGTTTCCCAGCCCTGACACCTGCTCTGACCACAAGGCATGACTGCCCGTGTCTTGTCCCTGGAGCGGCCGCTGTGCGGCTCTGGGCCTGCTTGCCTTGCCGCAGGTCACAGAGGGAGGCAGGGCAGAGGAGGGCCCTGGCGCCATGTTAGGCTTCTGAGGGTGTTCTTGCGGGCACCCCTAGTCTCTGGCCTTCCCCCTTCGCGCAGCAGGATCTCGGCCTGTGAGCTCAGGAGAGCTGCGGAGCTTCCGTGAGTGGAGCTCCCCTGCCAAGCCGGTTGCAGGGGGCCTCCTGAGTTGTAAGTCTCAGCACGGGGGCTGGGGAGAGCAGCTTTCTGGGCAGCCTGTGATCTGGCTTGCTTGGCTTGCTGCATTTCCCGGCGGCTCTGGTGGGACGGTCTTCACTTCTCTGCTGGCGCTGTTGCTGGCTCCCCGGCTTGCCCCTGAAGCTGGCCAGCTCAAAGGACGGGACTCGCATGCGGTGTGGGAAGAAAGGCTCTGAGCCCGGCTCACTCCACAGATCCCTGCTCCCAGCTTCGCCCTCCCCTGCCCTGG